ATAAATTATCAGGACAACTAAAAATATATAGAAAAAATTAGCCGGACATGGCGGCACATGCCTGTAGTCTCAGCTACTTGGGAGACTGAGGTAGATCGCTTGAGCCCAGGAGTTTGAGTTTGCTGTGAGCTAGGCTGACGCCTCGGCACTCTAGCCTAGGCGACAAAGTGAGACTCTGTCTGGAAAAAAAAACAAAAAAAACTGGCACAGACTGTGCTCACATCTGAGTTTGGTTCACTGGTTTCTTTGTGCCAAATGCCTAGTGGCACCCACCATTCCCTGATGGTCTCATGGTGTTTTTGTGCCAATGGTTCAAATCAGGATTGGAGAGGGGTGCCGGTGGTGCACCTGAGTCCTGCCTACTGGGGCAGAGGCAGAGGATGCTTGAGCCCAGGTGTTTGAGGCTGCAGTGAGCCGATGAAGCCACCACACTCCAGCCTGGGTGACCGGGTGAGACCTTCGCCTCCGAAAGAAAAAGAACAAATCGGGGTTGGGGTGGAGCCACCTCTGCTGTGGCATTGACCCCGAGCGCCTCTCCTGACCTGGGGACTCGGACCTGCTGGAGGAATCGGGGCACAGGACGGGATCTTGCTGGTCAGGACCATGTGCCTGCCTAAACACCCTGTGACTATGCTGGCCTCAGGCCGCCAAGACTGGTCACCTGTGTTGCAGGGGTGTGTCTTGGGGGGCCCGGCCTCCCCGATGAGTTCTGGGCATTCTAGGGTGCAGGTGGCACCGGCCGGATCTGTCCTCACGAAGTCCCCACTGCTCCCTGCTGTCGAGAAATGTCCCGTGTGCACACGTACCCCCACCTGTGTGGCCTGGCCGGGGTCCTTCTGGCATCTGGCAATGGGAGGGACTGTCCTCCCTCCCTGCAGGTGACCCTGTGTGCCTCTCGGCTCCCGGTGGCTTTGGCTTTCGTGCCATTGGTCGAGAGAGAGAGATTCATCTTTGGGTACTTTTGCCACCTCTGTTGTGTTTGCTGTCTGGCTTCACAAAAAGAATATGGACATTTTTCTTTGTTGTCTTTCCTGTGGAATAATTGAGATGGTAGTTTGGTAGAACTCGTTCGAGACGGGCACTTTGGCACTTTGCTGCGTTGCTTCTCTAGTTAGTGAGTGGTCTTTTCGGGTTTTCTCTCTTCCGAAGTCCTGTGGCCCGGCCTCAAGGCCGAGAGTCTTCCTCCAGCCCTCCTGTCCCTCCCCCCCCCCCAGGGCTTAGTCCTGCTTCCTCCACCCCTGGCCAGGCCCTTACCCATCTGTCTAGTGAACTCTCCGTCTCACCAGCCAAGACCCTGTTCTGACCTCAGGTCAACTGAGAGCCCATCTGAGCACCCCTAGGGCTGACGCCTGCTCTGGTTGCAGTGGAGACCTTTGGTGACCTGGCCTTCAGTGACATCTTCCTTCACTTGCTCACCGGGAACCTTGCGCTTCTGGCTGATGAATTTGCCCTGGAGGATTTCTGCAGCTGCCTCTTCGATGGCTTCTTCCTCTCGGCCTCACCAAGGTAGATGCATGGGCCGGGGCCAGCCAGGCACGGGGCTTATCTTTGCTCTCTGATCTTGGCCACGGCAGCCTGGGAGGTGGCTGGTTTCCCGTCCTGCAGACAAGGGGCCATAGGGGTGTCTGTGCTGGCCCTGCCAGGTGGCTAGGGCGGGCTGTCTCAGAGGCTGTGCCGCCCTCGTGTGGCAGGGCCTGAGAAGGAAGCAAGGTCTGTGGCCGCCCCCCCCTTTCCCAGGAAGGAGAACGTGCACCGCCACGTGCTGCGGCTGCTCCTCCACTTGCACCCCAGGGTGGCGCCGTCCAAGCTGGAGGCCCTGCAGAAGGCCCTGGAGCCCACAGGCCAGGTGTGTGCCCCCCCAGGGCTTTGTGAGTGAGTGCGCCTGCGCAGAACCAGTCTCCTGAACGCACCTGCGCAGCACCAGCCTCGGGTGCTCACCTACGGGGCCGACGCTGGCTTGCAATGGTGTCTGGGGGGGCCCGCCCTGTACGCCTTGCCGCCCCCTAACCACGGCTTCCCTGCAGAGTGGAGAGGCCGTGAAGGAGCTTTACTCACAGCTCGGTGAGAAGCTGGAGCAGCTGGACCACCGCAAGCCCAGCCCGGCCCAGGCTGCGGAAACGCCTGCCCTGGAGCTGCCCCTCCCCAGCGCGCCCGCCCCTGCGCCCGCCCCTGCCCCCGCTCCTGCCACGCTCTGAGGCTCCTCTGGGGGCTGCTCGGGAGTGGGGCCTTCCTCGGGGCGAGTCCTGGATAGCCCGGAGAAGAGGCTGACCTTGGACCCACACAGTACAGGCAGTGGCTGCTCCTGGGCTGGGGGTGCTGCCATCCACTCGTGGGGCCCGCGTGCCTGCCCCAGGGCCCTGCTGGCGGGAGCACAACGCCTGCTTGTGCTCTCACGGTGCGGAAAGCCTGTCGCGCCTGCTGAGCACCCAGGGTTTGCGTGGGGCCGTAGCAGAGACAGACGGCAGTGGTAGGATTAGGAAAAACCACCTGCTTTCCAAGGGGCAAGGGCGGGGCCTGGGCTGACGGGGCGGAGCCTCCCCGGGAGGCTGCAAGGGGAGGGCGGGGCCACCATGTTGGTGCAACTTGGCAGAATCCCCGGGTTTCTGGTCTCGGAGCCTGGGGAGGCGGTGCTGCTGCTCTGGTGGAGCGCAGGCGCAGCCTCGAGCCCGGCGCCATAGTGCACGGTCCCGCTGACCAAAGGACCCGCAGGCAGCCTCCCTTCCCTGCAGTGACCACATAGCAGATGTGTAGCAGGCTTGGCAAAGAAAGCCAAGGCCCCCACATGCTGCCTCAGTTTACCTTTGGAGCCGAGTGCTCCTCCTTGTTCAGCTGCACCTTCCCGAGCTGCCACGTGGGGGCAGCTGGTGCACACGTGAAGTTTTCATTTATGTAAATAAACGGCATTTTGGTAAATTCTGTGATGAGTTGTTTCTGTGCTGGCTGTGGACATAGCGTTCTCATGGGGTCTTAGGCCTTGTGGGGGTGACAGCTCCTAGGGGAGGCTGTAGGAAGCCCCCGCTGGGCCTTGCAGACGGCTCCTTTCCACATTGAGTGCAGGTGAGCAGCCCCCCTCACACACACACAGAAGAGGAGCCATGAACCCCTAGGAGGACTAGGATAAGCCCAAGGTCATAGGCAGGGCTGGAGCTGCTCTGAGCAGAAGAGGCCACTCAGCTGGGCAGTGGTTCTTGGTGGCATTCCCTGGGTGGCTTAGGGAAAGATGGCCCCGTGCCATGCCACACTCCGCTGTCTCCTCAGGGACACCTGCTGGGCTTGCTCCGGTGTTGCACCTGCCAAGGCTGAGTCAGTCAGGAGCCGTTGAACGTGATATAAGCCCACCCTACAGTGCTGGGTCAGGAGGGGTGGGCAGGGGACACAGTGTGGGGCTACCCAGGATGGAGAGGCTGGCCTGGCCCAGCTGGGGAGGCTGGCACATGGGCTCTGTGCGTGGTTAGAAGGCAGGGCCATAGGGTTTCCACACGGACAGGAACTCACTTGGTGGGCTGTCAGGACCATTGGGGCTGTGGAGCTGGACAGGTATTGCAATGGGGTTCTGAGCTCAGGACTCAGCCAGGGTGTGGGTCTGACGTCGTTGGCCCGTGGTGCTTGAGGCATGAGACCCAGCTGGTGAGGCTCTAGGCTGCAACCAGGCAGGGCTGGGGGTGTGGGCAGCTGATGGGGGCATCTCAGCAGCCCAGGGAGGAGGGTCAGGCTGTGTGTGGGTCAGCCATGGGGGAGTGAGGGGGGAAGAGAAGCCTGGAGACTACATGAGAAGCAAGGGGTGGGGTGTGGGCGCTTGGGCCAGGAGTGCATTTTTATTTTATTTTATTTTTTTGAGACACAGTCTCACTGTGTTGCCCAGGCTAGAGTGCCGTGGCTTCAGCCTATCACAGCAACTTCCAACTCCTGGACTCAAGCGATCCTCCTGGCTCAGCGTCCCGAGCAGCTGGGACTACAGGCATGCACCACCATGCCCGGCTAATTTTTTTTTCTATATATTTTTAGTTGGCTAATTTCTTTCTATTTTTAGTAGAGACGAGGTCTCACTCTTGGTCAGGCAGGTCTCGCTCTTGCTCAGGCTGGTTCCGAACTACTGACCTTGAGGGATCCACCCACTTCGGCCTCCCAGAGTGCTGGGATTACAAGCGTGAGCCACTGTGCCCAGCCTTATTTTGGTTTTTTTTTGAGGCAGAAGAAATGCATATTTCTAGGCTGATGGGAATGAGCTGGCAGGGTAAAAAATGGACAGCACTGTGGGGTGGCTAGAGCAAGGAGTGAGCCAGAGGGGCCGTCATCAGGGAGGGACGCGGCTGGCAGTGCAGGTGCTCCCCGGTACCTTTCCAGCAACTTCCACTTCCTCAGTCTGGGCTGGGAGGCAGGGCAGGGTGGAGGTGTGGAGGGGAGTGGACAAGGAGCAAAGCGGAGGTGTGAGGAGCAGCCATGAGCAGACATGGACGCCTGGTGTGTGGTCCCTGGTCTGTGTGCAGGGCCCTGAGGCTCATGGTCGAGGTGGAGGTGGACAGACTGGACGGTGTGGCTGGGCTCCTGTGGCCTCGTCCAGGTGTAGGCAGTGTGGGTGGGAAGCTGGCTGCCCAGGCCCTGTAGCCCCCGCATGGGGCTGGGCATCCTTCAGGGGCCCTGGGAGAGCTGTGGGAAGGGAGCAGGCCTGTCTCTCCCTCTGCCAGCTGCCTCTGCCAGCAGCCGACCCGCCAGACCCTCAGGTCCACAGCCCAGCACCGTCACCAGGGGGAGGCAGGGGTGGGGGAGCTCATGCCTAGGGCCTGCCCTTGTGGGTCAGGTATGGATCTGAGCCCTGAGCACCTGGTACCCCCATTCCGGGAGGCCTCCCTCCCACCTGCCCACCCAACCACAGCTTTGCTGCTCCCCGGGATTCATAGCCCATCATTCACACCACAACCAGTGTCCTTAGCTTCTTCCCCGAACGGACCCTTCATCTCTCCCCCAGGCCGTGCCAGTGGCACTGTTCCCCTCAAGGCCCCCAGCCCCCTCCTCCATCCTGGTCCTAGGGAACCTGGGCATGGGCTGCAGCACTATGGGCATGCCCTGAGAACCAAGGGTCGAAGTCCTCAAGCACCCAGCCCTGCGGGGGGGGGGGCGCAGCGGGTCCCTGAGCACCAGGCCTGCCTGCTGGAGGGAGCCTGTGGTTCCTCCCCCAGGGAGCTGGGCTTGTGGGGAGCAGAGACAGACAACCCTTCAGACCCTACATCCTGGAGAGAGCAGATGCCCCTGGCCCACAGTGGACTTTCCCTGCTGGGTGGGTGCAAGGAGGTGAACAGAGCCTGTAAGGAAGTCCAGGGTGGCAAAGGTGTGGCAGCAGGAGGGGCCCAGGCTGGCAGCGGGGAGGATGGGGTAGGCGCAGTACAGACTGGGGGCCCTGGCTTGGCTGAACGGCCCTGGCCAGCCCTGGAAGGAGCCAGGACCACCAGTACAGAGACGGAAGAGCCTACTCTTGGCCCAGGTTCTTTCTGAATTTGCTCTCCAATGCCCACAGGGACGCTGAGCCACATGTGAGGGTTAATTCCCAGTTCTAGAACATCGTCCCAGCGTGTGCTGTCCTGTCTTGGGCAGGGGGCTCCAGGCTGAGGGACAGAGGAAGGGGGAGGAAAACAAAGTAAGCCCTAGTCTGAGGCCCCCAGATGGGGGTCAGAGGAGGGAAGAGAAATGGGGGAGAGAATAAAGGAGGCAGTTGGGGGGCTCTCAGCTGAGCATGACCCTGCCTGTCCCTCCACTCCTGCTCTGTGGGGGTGGGTCAGGCGGCTGGAGTGGGCGTCCCTGGAGGACAGCTTGAAGTGCAGGGAGCCCAGGTGTGGGGGAGGGCATGAGGGAGGAGCCTGGACTGGGCGTGGAGAGCACAGATGGGAGGTGACTTGCTGGCCAGGGCAGCTGGGCAAGCCAGCAGGGCCTCCCCCTCTGGCGCCTCCGTCCAGCCCAAGTCCCGCCTGGCCGCACCCCCTGACTCACTTCCTTTGCACAGAAGCGGAAACCTACCCAGAGCTTCCTCTCCTCGGATGCTCCCTGGGGACCCACAGGTGCTGCTGCCCCCTCCAGGCCTGAGCGGGCCCAGGAGGCCCCAGGACACTCTCCCAGGGAGCTTGGCATTTCCTGCTTCCTGAGCCACAGGCCCCAGCGTCTGGTGCGGGCAGGGGGCCGTGCAGCTGGGGGAGCCACTGCTGCAGGTATTGGGGTGGGTTGGGGGCGGGGGCCAAGGCCAGCCCCTGCCATTGGGGGTCCCTTCCCTGCCTGCCTAGGCTCTTCTCTCTGTCCACCTTCCCCCACCCCACCAGCCGCTGTCCTGTTAGTATTGGGAGGACCCCAGTTTTGGAGTGGAGGGCTGGGGGAGCGCTGGGAGGCCTGGGGCCCATTCTTATAATCCTAATTTCCGGCCAGACACCCCCACAAGTGTTCTCGAGTGTGTAGGGGGCGCCTTTGAACCCCCGGGTGTGCTACAGCCTCTAATCCCCGTGGGCCCTCCTGGAGACACAGTCCCGTGGGAGCTGCGGGTGGGGGCTGGGTCGGGTTTGACCTTTCTTCACCCTAATTGGCGCATGGTCGGCCACTGAACTCCGCCTCCAGGAAGCAGGTCGGCCGCTGATAAGCTGCACCCCCCCCCACACGCCACCCCAGCCACTTCCTCAGGGCCCGTGGCCCTTTATCAGAGGACCTGAGAGATTTGCATTGAGGCCGGCGGAGGAACCGCTTCCCGGTCAGCCGGCGAGGCTGGGGCCAGGCCCTTGCCGGGGCAGCCCAGGGCGCACCCCGCGGGGCTCCCGGGGTAAGCTCTCTTGGGGAGGGTTCCAGCCGGCTCCTGGCTGCGGCCGCGGGATGAGGCCAGGCGGGAGTCCAGAGACCCTCCTCGTCTTCCTGTTGCAGGGAGGGCGACCTGCATGCCGAGCGCGCGCGCTCCTGCGCCATGGACCACGGCCAGCCCACCCTGGAACCCGCGGCCGAGGCCCCCCGAGCCTCGGGCCCCTCTGTGATCGCGCCCGTGCGCGCCGTGCTGCGCCTGCGCCGCCGGGTGTGCATCCTACGCCAGCGGCGCCTCCTGCCGCCCAGCGCGGGGCCCGACGCGGGGACGGGGACGCCCAGGCTGGGCTTCAGCTCCGGGGCGTCGCGCGCTAACCTGGACCAGCCACAGTTCTTCACCTTCGATGGCCTGGCGGAGCTGTCCTCGAAGACGCCGCGCAAGAGGCGCCGGCGCAGCCGCGTGGTGCTTTACCCGGAAACCTCACGCAAATGTCGGCCGCGGGTGGAGCGCAGGAGCCGCGCGCAGCGCTGCCTGCTGCTGCTCGTGGCCATCGTGGGCTTCCAGGTACTCAACGCCATCGAGAACCTGGACGATAATGAACAGCGCTACGACCTCGACGGGCTGGAGAAGACACTGCAGCGCACCGTGTTTGGCCAGCCAGCTGCCGTGGGGCGCATCGTGGCGCTGATGCGAGACTACCTGGCCACGCACGTGCACAGTCGTCCGCTTCTCCTGGCGCTGCACGGGCCCAGCGGCGTGGGCAAGAGCCACGTGGGCCGCCTGCTGGCACGCCACTTCCGCGCCGTGCTCGAGGACGGCGCGCTCGTGCTGCAGTACCACGCGCGGCACCACTGCCCCGAGCCGCGCGCCCCGCAGGACTGCCGCGAGGAGCTGGCGCGGCGCGTGGCCGACGTGGCGGCTCGAGCCGAGGCGGAGGAGAAGACGCCACTCCTGGTGCTGGACGAGGTGGAGCTCATGCCGCGGCCGCTGCTGGACGAGCTGCACAGCCTCCTGCAGCCGCAGCGCTCCCACCACTTCCACAACGCCATCTACGTGCTCCTGAGCGGCGCTGGTGGCGCCGAGATCACGCGCTTCGTGCTGCAGAACGCGTCCCGCGCGCTGTCCCTGCGCGCCGACGCCGCCCGCCGGGCCAGGGCCGCAGCTGCGCAGGCCGAGGAGGACCTGCGCGCCAGCTTGCGCGCACTCTTGGCGCGCGAGCACCCGCTGTGGCAGGCCGCGGCCATCGTGCCCTTACTGCTGCTGGACAAGCGGGACGTGGTCAGCTGCTTCCGCGACGAGATGGCCGGCGAGGGCTTCTTTCCCGAGCAGGCCCGCGCCGAGCGCCTGGCCGCGCAGCTCAGTTACTACCGGGTTGCTGACCGTGAGTTCGCGGTCACCGGCTGCAAGCAGGTGGTGGCGAAGGTGAACCTCTTGTAGCGCAGGCACAGGACTGCGGGCCAGCGGGCCTGAGGGGACGTTTGGGTGGATGGTGGCAGTAGGAAGCCAGTCGAGAACCCTGCGGCCTTGTCCCAGGCCCCCTGGTTTCCCTAATAAACTCACAGTGGGAGCTACAGAGGCTGGTGGGGGTGGGCCAGCCCTGCGCTCTCCAGTTGCAGTCCCACCCCCCCTCAGCCCTGGGTCTGTCCCCAGGGTCGCTTTCCTGTCCTTGACTTGGCCACGGTCCTCAGCAGCAGGTCCCAGGCGTGGGCTGGCTGTTGTCAGGCAGCCCGGGGAAGTGGGCAGTCTGTTCTCAAGGTACGGGTCGGGTCTGGGGTGTGGGCAGCTCCCAGCATCACACCATGGGGATGTGAACCCCGGCTCTAGGGAGCTTTCCGCAGCTTCCCGCCCACGCGCACTCAGTGCCAGGGTGGGGACTTCACCCCTGCCACCCTGACCCTTTCCTGGCCTCTGGCTCTGAAGATGACACCCAGTGGGGTCGCAGCCAACGATGGCGACGGTGACAGTGCTTGGGGTCCTCACCCTTGGCTCCGCCCACCCCGTGCTCTGAGGCTCGCATTGCTGCAGAGGGGAGGCCACTCCCCTCCCCCCAGACGCCCACCCTCAGCCTGGCCCCTCCAGGTCGGGCTCACCAGATGGTCTGTGCCCCTGGGACCAGGGGGTGGAGCGCAGGCCTCCGTGCACCTCCGCTGACAGCGTGGGCCGTCTGGCCACCCCGGTTGCGCGGACTTCCAACCCCGCGCCTCTATAGCCTGTTGTGCCCCAAGTTCTGCCCGGGCCGCGCCCTCTGCACAGAGCGCCCTCCCTGAGCCTGCCCGCCTGGGCGCCCTAAACCTCCGGGGCTCGGAGCACACACTCCGCCTCCGGGAAGCCCTCCGGGACTCCCCTCGCAGGTGGGCTCGCCGCGCCCACGAAAGCTTTAGCGAAACGTGCCTTGGGCGCTTTTTCCGCCGGGGGGGGGGGGGGGGTGGCCGGGGAAAGGCTTCCCAGGGGCGGCAGTCGCCTGGGAAGGGTCCTCACCTCCACCCGAAGCCCGGGCGGCCTCAATGCTGCCGCCTCGTGGCCGAGCCCGGCTCAGCCCCGGGAGCCGCCGAGGGGGTGGCCTCTGCAGTCGCGCGGGCCGCCCGCGTCCTCTCCCCGCCACCCCTGCCCCGCCGCCTGCCCCTCGACGGTCCCCGCCGAGGCCCGCCCCGGAGGAGCGCACCGTCCAGCGGGAGGGAAACAGGCGCAACACCCTAGAAGTGGGGTCGGCTTCCCGCCGGCGGTGCAGGCGGGGCTGTGCCAGGGGCGCCCGGTCCCGGGAGCGCACACGCACCTGAGCTGCGCGCACGCGTCCCCCGCCCCATACCTGAATTCAGTCGGACCGCTGCCCTTGGAGACCTGCTCTGCGACCGCGGTCACCAGCACTGGTGTCCCTAGAAGGGCTGGCCGGCTTCCTGAGCTGAGGTCCTGCCGGTCTCCGGAAGGATCCCGCCTTCACTCCCACCCCCCATACCCGTTCTGGCCCTGGGGGTGGTCTGGGGACCCGGGCGAGGTCTGTCCGGTGGAGCCCGCGATCCACGGCGCTGGGAAGTTGGTATCTGTCTGGGCAGATGCAGCGCGGAGATCCTGGGCCTAGAATGGAGCGGCGGGGGTGAGGGTTGTCGCGTCCTGCCCAGATAGGCCTGAGGAATCTGGGGGCTCTCTGGGGTCTAGGGAAGGAGTCTGGATCCCCGGGTGGTACCAAAGAAACTTCTGCCCCCTTGGGGTTGGGCAGGGCGGATGGCGAGCTCTTGGGGCCAGAGCTGCGTTTCAGCCCAGCTCTGTCCACTGTAACCCCACTTGCTGGGTGCCTGGGGAAGGACACCCCCTTCCCCCCAATATCTGTCCGCTGAGCCTGCACTGGGGGTGTCCCGCTCTGCTGCCCGGGGGGCTTTGTGTTGATGCTTGAAGGTTGTGTGTAACAGACCGCGAGAGCTGCCGAGTGGGAGGTGAGCCTGCCGGGACACCATGAGTGATGTCTCCTCACTCCCCACAAGGACTGTCACCTCCCCTCCCACAGAGCACCTGCCCTGGGTGTGTGCTGCCCAGCCAAGCGTGGGACATTCATTCCCCCGTTCTGTCAACACCACCCACCTGGCGTCTACTCCTATCTGAAGTCTAAACCTATGGGGAATTTTATCTTTTTATTTATTTCTAAAAATACTACCTTGAGGCCAGTTTTTGTGCTTAGGAAGAATGTGTGCTGAGTGCCGGGGGGGCTGGTTGTGTGCCAGGCCCGTAAGTCACCCTTGTTAATAAATCGTGCTGTTCCAATCTGACAGCCTCCTGTTCATTTTGGGTTTCGTCCGCTTGACCTATTAATAATCGGGACAGGCCTGGGGAAATCTTGCCATCCAATGGTAGATCTATCAGTTTCTCTCCAAGCCTCTATCTGATAGGCCACCCTAATTTTTTTTAAAAAAATGATAAACTTGTGAAGAGGGAAGTGGTGCTGACCGGGAAGCTAGTGGAAGGGCTGTGGGGTCATGTGAGTTCTGCAGCTCAAACATTCAGGCCTTCCAGGAAATCCATAAATAACTAAAAAATTATTTTCTTTAACTGCCCTAGACAGGTGCTGAGGGTAGACTGCCCAGGCTGGGCATGTGGGAAGCTACCAGCTCATCAGATTATCCCAAAAGGTACTAGCTGGTTTCCCCCATTAGATGTGAGTAGATCATCTGTGTGTAGTTGTCTCTGACTTACTCTCTGACATCCTCTGTGTGTTATTAGGTAGTGACCATTTTGATCTCTAGTAATGCCCTTTTCTTAAAGTCTGCTTGTCTGATACTAATATTAGCCACTGCAGCTTCTATACCTGAAGTTTCTTTTCAGTTAGTATTTGTTTGGGATATATTTTCTAAGTCTTTCTTTTAATTTTCCAACTATATCTCTTTTATTTTTTTTGAGACAGAGTCTCACTTTGTTGCCCAGGCTAGAGTGAGTGCCATGGCGTCAGTGTAGCTAATAGCAACCTCAATCTCTTGGGCTCAAGCAATCCTCCTGCCTCAGCCTCCTGAGTAGCTGGGACTATAAGCATGCGCCACCATGTCCGGCTAAGTTTTCCTATATACAGTACTATTAGTTGCGCAATTTAATTTCTTTCTATTTATAGTAGAGACAGGTCTCGCTCTTGCTCAGGCTGGTTTGAACTCCTGACCTTGAGCAATCCGCCCACCTCAGCTCCAGAGTGCTATATATTCTTTTTTTTTTTTTTTTTTGAGACAGAGTCTCGCTTTGTTGTCCAGGCTAGAGTGAGTGCCGTGGCGTCAGCCTAGCTCACAGCACCTCAAATCCTGGGCTCGAGTGATCCTTCTGCCTCACCTCCCGAGTAGCTGGGACTACAGGCATGCGCCACCATGCCCGGCTAATTTTTATATACATATAGTTGGCCAATTAATTTCTTTCTATTATATAGTAGAGACGGGGTCTCGCTCTTGCTCAGGCTGGTTTTGAACTCCTGACCTGAGCATCCGCCCGCCTCGCTCCAAGAGCTAGTACAGGCGTGAGCCACGCGCCCGGCTATATACTCTCTTTTAAATAGCAAGTTGTTGGGCTTTTGACACATCCAATTGACAGTCCTGGTCTTTGAGTTTCCGGGTTTTATCATTTACATTTATTGGGCTGTTGATATTGATAAATTTCTTTCCATACTTTATTTTGTGCCTCTCAGTTGTCCTACTTTTTCTATGCTTTTTTTTCTTCTTCTTTTTTTTTTTGTAGTGCTTCTTCTCCTCTTAATCCCAAGTATTCCATTTTTCCCTTAACTGGTTTGAGGTTATACCATGAAACATAACTTAACAAGTTTTACACCCTCCCTGGACAGTACAAGAACTTTAGGGTCACCTGAGTGCTAATTCAGCCACTCTAACTTCCGTGCCATTCTTATCAAGTATGTTAATTCTGTCCTGTTTATATATACCCACATATCAGACATTATTATTATATTTAATTGTTATTGATTTGTATTTAGTTGATTTGTTTATGAAATAGTTTCTTCTTTTTCAGATGTTCTGTAATTCCTGCTGTTACAAACCAGGTTTTCAAGCTTCCATCTGTGCCTGTGAATCATTTCTGGCTCTTTATTCGGTTCCATTGGTCATTTTGTTTCCTGGCCACAACCACGTGTCTTTTTTTTAATTTAAATATCATTTTTACTTTCTTCTCTCTTTTTTAAATTTTATTATTATTATTGTTATTTTTTATTTTTTTTTTTTGAGACAGAGTCTCTCTTTGTTGCCAGGCTAGAGTGAAGTACCGTGGCTCAGCTAGCTCACAGCAACCTCAATCTCCTGGGCTCAAGCGATCCTCCTGCCTCAGCCTCCGACTAGCTGGCACTACAGGCATGCGCCACCATGCCGGCTAATTTTTTTCTATATATATTAGTTGGCCAATTAATTTCTATTTATAGTAGAGACGGGGTCTCGCTCTTGCTCAGGTTGGTTTCGAACTCTTGAGCCAACGGATCTCCCGCCTCGCTCTCTAGACAGTAGATTACAGGCTGAGCCACCGTGCCCGGCCTTTTATTATTTTTAAGGTCAAAAAATGAAGATAGAAAGATAACCACGTGGTCTTAATTCCTCAGCTTTATGTGTCTGCCTCACTCACAGCATCTGGCAGGAGTTCCACTTTGTTCTCAGAGTCTCTTGGTTATCCACAGGCCTTTTGCTTAGAACTTGATTTTGTCAGATTCTTTAAAAAAAAACCTGTAGGATTTGATTGGAATTTCATTGACTCTATAGACCAATTTGGACACTATTAATATCTTTACACTATTACAGGTTAAATCTCCATCTATGAAATGCTTGGCTGCAGATGTGTTTCAGATTTCAGATTTTTTGGATTTTAGAATATTTACATTACATAATGAGATATCTTGGGAATAGGACCCAAGTACTGATTTTCAGTAAATTTAAAGAGTTGTGCAGACATCACCACACTTCAGGCTTAGAATAGTTCCATGACCCAGAAAGATCCTTCATGCCCATTTTGAGTGAATTCCTGTTTCCATGCCTGCCTCAGACAATTACTTATCATTTTTGTCTACAGATTTTCTTTTTTTCTTTTTTTTGAGACAGTCTCACTCTATTGACCAGGCTAGAGTGCTGTGGTGTCAGTGTAGTTCACAGAAACCTCAAACCCATGGGTTCAAGCGATCCTCCTGCCTCAGCCTCCCAAGTAGCTTGGGACTATAACGCATCGCACCACATCGCCAGCTAATTTTTTTGTATATATTTTTAATTGGCCAATTAATTTTTTTTTATTTTGTTAGTAGACATGGGGTCTCGTTCTTGCTCAGGCTGGTTTCAAACTCCTGACCTTGAGCGATCCGCCCCACCCATCTTGGCCTCCCAGAGTGCTATGATTACAGGCATGAGCTACCATGCCCAGCCCTGCTTTTTATTTTTGAGAAAGAGTCTTGGCCGGGCGCGGTGGCTCACGCCTGTAATCCTAGCACTCTGGGAGGCTGAGGCGGGTGGATTGCCTCAAGGTCAGGAGTTCAAAACCAGCCTGAGTAAGAGCGAGACCCTGTCTCTACTATAAATAGAAAGAAATTAATTGGGGGCATGGTGGTGCATGCCTGTAGTCCCAGCTACTCAGGAGGCTGAGGCAGGAGATTGCTTGAGCCCAGGTTTGAGGTTGCTGTGACTAGCCTGATGCCACGCACTCACTGTAGCCTGGGCAAAACAGTGAGACTCTAGCTCAAAAAAAAAGAGACAGAGTCTCACTCTGTCACCCAGGCTAAAGTGCAGTGGCGTCATCATAGCTCACTGTGACCTCAAACTGGGCTTAAGCAATTGTCCCCGCTCAGCTCCCAAGTAGCTGGGACTACAGGTGCATGCCACGCCTGGCTAATTTTTCTATTTTTTGCCGAGATGCAGTCTTGCTCTTGCTCAGGCTGATCATGGACAATAGTTTTTTATAACGAAGAACTGGAAGATCTAATAAAAAAAAACAAAAACAAATGGTAAGTTTGGAGTTAAAAAAGCACAGTAACTGAAATGAGGGCTAGACTAGGGAGGTCCAACAGCAGGTTTGAAATGTCAGAAAAAAGAATCAGTAAACTTGCACCTGTGGTCCCACCAACGCAGGAGGCCAAGGCAGGAGGATGCCTGAGCCCAGGAGTTGGAGGCTGCAGTGAACTGTGGTTGCGATCAGGCCACTGCACTCCAGCCTGGGCACGAGAGAGACTCTGTGTCTAAAGGAAAGAAGCAGTAAGCCTGAGGATAGATTAGTAGAAACCACCCAGTCTGAAGAAAGGACAGAAAGATTAAAGAAAAATAAACAGAACAGGCATGGTGGCTCATACCTGTAATCCTAGCACTTTGGGAGGCCGAGGCAGGAAGATCGCTTGAGCCCAGGAATCTAAGGTTGCTGTGAGCCATGATCATGCCACCGCACTGCATTCTGGGTGACAGAGCAAGACTCTTGTCTTAGAACAAAAAAGGCCGGGCGCTGTGGCTGACGCCTGTAATCCTAGCACTCTGGGAGGCCGAGGCGGGAGGATCGATCAAGGTCAAGAGTTTGAAACCAGCCTGAGTGAGACCCCGTCTCTACTAAAAATACAAAGAAATTGATTGATTAACTAAAAATATATGTATACTCCGCGTCCAGACGAAAAAACTAGCTGGGCATAGCGTGGTGGTCCAGCCACGGCCTGTTACTCCCAGCTACTCGGCGGACCAACACTGAGGCCGCCGCGTATTGGCTTGAGCCAGGAGTTAGAGGAGTTCGTGCTGTGCGCTAGGCTGACCACGGCACTCCACTTTCCTACCGCCTGAGCAAGGCAAGTGAGAACTCTGTCTCAAAAAACAAAAAAAAAAAAGACAAAAGGGACCGCTGAGATGGGGAGATTACTCTGCAGTGTCCACGGCCCCCCGTCTACGTCTCTCGATGAACTCTTTTAAGGCAGTAACCATCTTGCACTCGGCCCCACTGGCCCCGCTCTCCAGAACAGACGCAGACCGCTGCTGACTCCGATTCAATGTTATTTTTCACTTTAAATTTAATTTGTTTATCTTGTTTACTTTCTTTTTTTTTTTTATGAGACATGAGTCTCACTTTGTTGCTCAGGCCTAAGAGTGAGTGTGTGACGTCAGCCTACGCTCAGCAGCAACCTCAATACTCCTGGGCCTCCGGCGATCCTCCCGCCTCAGCCTCCCAAGTAAGCTGGACTCAGCAAGTCATGCACCCACTATGCTCCGGCTTAATATATAGTATATAACTCTCCTATACCACTACTCTTTTTTTTAATTGTCCAGCTAATTTCATTTCTA